TGCCTGGCCGCCTGCGCCCGGGGGAGGCGGCCCACGTGCGACGGAACCAGCAGCATGAGCAGCGGCTACAGCAGCCTGGAGGAGGACGCCGAGGACTTCTTCTTCACCGCCAGGACCTCCTTTTTCAGGAGAGCGCCCCAGGGCAAGCCCCGCGCCGGCCAGCAAGTGAGTGGCACGCGCGGCGGGCGCCGCAGCCGGCGCCCATAGCTCCCGGGATCCCCGATTCCACGTGTATCAGTGGGGCGTGCCGGGCATGCCCGCGGGGAAGGAGGAGGGGGGGCGGCCGAGAAGGGGCTTCTGCCTTTTGGGATCCCGGGGTCGTGCCTGGAGGTTGTGCACGTGGGCGTGCGGGCGTGCACGGGGGCGGCCAGCGCGAGGGAAGGAGGTGGAAGGGCGGGAGACCGAGGGCCCGCTCCTGCCTTCCGCGCCAGATGGCCTCTGCGGCCCTGCTTCGGGCGGCGGGCTGCGGGACAGCACTTCTGAGAGCGTGGAGGCGTCCCCGGCCACTCCCGGCGTTTCCTCTGCGTCCGGGCAGTCGGTGGTCGGGGTCCTGGCTCCAGCCTCCACTGGGAGTCGGTTCAGTGGGCAGTGAGCCCCCGAGTGGCTTGGGGGCCATGGTAATAGCCAGGGGTGGCGTTGGCGACCTGGCCTCCGCTACCTTCCGGGTCCAGCACCTTGGTGGTGGGGGTGGGGACGACAGCAGGCGCTCCCTAGACCTTGGTTGCGGGAGTCAAGGTTGTGCGTTTCCTGCAAAGTCAAGTTTATGAGTGCCTTCAATGTTTTGCAAACAAGTTCCGGTGCTAGGTAAATACCAGCAGGCTAGAGCTGAGCCTTAGGCCGGTTTCTTCCTTTTTTGGAGGAAGCATGCCGTGGGAAGTATGACTTGGTAAAAGATGGGAAGGGAACTTGGGCCGGTTTCGCCGACCCGGACTGTATTTCCCTGGAAGGCTTTCCCGAAGCGGGCCACTTGGGGTGGACTTCTCAGTCCCGCGCGTGAACCCGCGGCCTCCTGGCCCGGGGAGTCACACCAGGAAGCCCTGCCAACCCAGCCGTGCTCACATCAGATTAGTGAGGCTGTAATGGAACAAATTTGTTGCTCTTCAACAAAAGGCGCTCCCCGGACCATTGCTATTAGACCTCGTCCTGGAGACTGGAGGCAAGGAAAATCGTTCAGGGCCGCATGATGAGTTATGGGAGGGGTGAGGATGGAGTAATGTGTCAGTAATGTTTCCTCGCCAGACCTTTTAAGTTTACTTAACCACTTTCTGAGGTCAAATTTCTTTTTATGATTCGGAAGTTCTAGTCTTTGCAGCCTCTTAATCCCAAACCAGAAGGAGGGGGAGAGGGGATGGTGAAGGGCAAGAGTGAAGTCAAGTGCCCTTATTCAGTAGCAGGTAATCCTGAGTGAAGTTCTGGGGCGGTAGTCTGTCCTCTTTATTGTTTCGAAGGCTTAGGGCTGTGCTCTTTACTAGTCATTTTGAGCGATGACTTAGCTCAGGCTGCTGTGACAAATGCCATAGACTAGGTGACTTAAACACAAATATTTCTCATAGTTCTGGAGGCTGGAGGTGGATCTTGGTGCCCGGCTGGTTGCTTGGGTTTTGGCGAGGACCCCTTGGCTGGGAGACCGCTGACTCCTTGCAGTGACCTCCCATGGAGAAAGGGCTAATTTTCTTCTTGTAAAGAAATTGATCCCATCGTCGGGGCCACCTTCATGGCCTCATTACCTCCCAAAGGTCCCACCTCCAAATCCTTTCGCATTTAGGGCTTCCTCATATCAGTTTTGGAGTGGGGGTCCACAGACATTCATTTCATAGCAACTGATCCTTTATTTTCGGTAGAGTGTATTCTAATGGCATGAGTTTGCTCTGAGGTTTGGAAGGCAGACATACTCTTCCTCTCTGTCGGTTAGGGAAGAATTGCTTTTCCTTGTGCTTCTCTCACTTGGCTCTTCTCTCTTGGCCTCTCCTGTCTTTCTTTCCTCTACTTTGTATTTTCTCCTGCCTCTTACGCTGCTGTCACCATTTGACTAGAACTTGACAGAGGTGGTTGTGCTCGTTTGAAGTTGATTGCAGAGGTGGCTCTTCTCCAGAAAACTTGCTGGTTCTCAGATTCTCTTGGTATGTGATGCTCCTTCACAAGGGCCAGCATATCCAGTTAGAATTGTGGGAGAATGTTTTTAGTGCTTTAAAAAATAAAAATTTCTCTTTTTTCTGCGTTTAGATATACAGTGTTTCCATTAATTAATCTAGCATATATATTACATAATGTAACTTAGCTTTTAGAATTAGTTTAACATTAATATGTATTTTGGAGTATTGTGCTGAAAATCAGGACAGTAAGACCTAGTTCTTTGCTTGAAGGGCTTGTTCTGTATATTCTGAAGCTTTATTGCCTGTGTGTTCCCCCTCCTAACGATAACACATGGCAAGGTGCTGAGTTACGGGACTTACTTGCCAGGTGGCAAAAGTGTTTGAATTTTTGTGGGCATTTTGGTTAAATTGACTGAATGAGTGTGTTAAATTCCTGATGAGATTTGTGAGTTAAAGAAGTAAAACTCACAAATATAAAGCAAGGCATTCTAAGTATAGAACATTTCTTTTACCTAAGGTTAGATAATAGGTAAGCCTTTTTCATTTTATTTATTTTCTTTTTATTATTATTTTAAGCAATCTCTACTCCCAGTGGGGCTTGAAGTCATGACCCTGAGATCAAGAACCAGCCAGGGGTCCTGCGTTTTCCATTTTATTATGCTGGTGATTATAAGATTAAGATAAGCATTTCTAACAAAGCATAAAAGTGAAATTTATCCTTTCTCTAGAAAGGTGGAAAGAGAGATGTTGCCATAAGGATCTATTATTGCTAATAGTAAATTTTTAAAATTTTTTTAATTTGTAAGTTTTAATTTTTTTGGTGCTGAACCACCTGGTGAAAAAGCCAGGAAAATTCAGTTTCTAGGACTCCTGGAAAAATACCTAGAGAGAGCAAGATGTTTGTGGTAAATGCAGGATGGAGAAAAAGGGGGAGGGGGATGAGGAATTTCTTTTCTTCTGTTGCCAGGCAAAGAACATAGCCCAACTTCTTTCTTTCTCCAACAAAAACAAAAATCTTTCGGTTATAAGGAAAATGTTACCCTTTTCTTATGTTGGTACACTCTTAAAAAGAAAAAAGAAGAAGAAAAGGCTTAAAAACCTGTCTGGAGGTTAGAAACAGGAATGAGAGGAGGCCTTTTTTGTGGCAGTTTGGTTGTCATGTTTATAGCTGTATCCCTGGGGCGTCCATTGGTACCGGAAACACAGTGATTGCTCAGTGAATATTAGTTGTATGAATGAATGCTTTCCTCGTTTGATAATAATTGGCTCATTACAGGTTTTTCAAATGTACCCTATCTTATGATTGTCCCAATAACCCCCTGGAAAATTAACTTAATGAAAGGTAAGGCCTTGTTAAATGATTCCCCAAAGGGCCCACATACTTTCCTTTTGGTTAATTCTCAGCCACCCCCCCCAATTTTTTTTTTTCTTTTTGAGAGAGAAAGAGAGCACATGCACCTATGTGTGTGGGGGGGGCTGCAAAGAGGGAGAGAGAATTTTTTTTTTAAGATTTTATTTTTATTTATTTGACAGAGATAGCGAGAGCAGGAACACAAGCAGGGGGAGTGGGAGGGGGAGAAGCAGGCTTCCTGCCAATCAGGGAGCCCGATGTGGGACTCGATCCCAGGATCAAGACCTTAGCCGAAGGCAGACGCTTAACAACTGAGCCACCCAGGCGCCCAGAGAGAGAAAGAATCTTAAGCAGGCTCCACGCCCAGAGGGGAGGCCACTCGGGACTCATCTCACAACCCTGACATAATGACCTGACCTGAAATCAAGAGTCAGACGCTTAATAAACCGAGCCACCGAGGCGGGGAGCCACCGAGGCGGGTACCCTCCTCCCCCAAATTTTAAAATTTGATTTTCTCTTTGCAGATAATGGACATCTATAATTTAGGATTTTCTTAAAATGTCGACCCCGTATTCCGTATATATGTTCATTACAGTGTTCATAACTCATGCTTGTGGATCCACTGTTGTTTCATGCAGAACCAAGAATGTGGGCAGTTCTGTAATTCATAATTCTCTTTTTCTACACATTCAGACTTCCAAGAGTAGAATGGACTAAAATTATTAATGTAATCTATTGGAACGTAACTTACTCCATAGCTAAGGTAATCACTTTTCTTTCTGAGCCTTGGCTAGTTAATAGAAATAAGGAAATGAGACCTACTCTTTGCTTTAGCAGTAGGATAGTCAAGAAGTTTTTTTTTTTTTTAAAGATTTTAGTCACTTGAGAGTGAGCGAGCAAATGAGAGCGAGCGCATGAGCGAACACACACACACACACAGGTGCACACACACACGCACGCACGCACGCTGGGGGGGGGCTGGTGGTAGAGGAAGAAGCAGATTCCCCACTGATCAGGGAGCTCCGTCCCAGGACCCTGAATCATAACCCAGACTGAAGGCAGATGCTTAACTGATTGAGCCACCCAGGTGCCCTGAATAGTCAAGAAGTCTTAAACTTAAAATTGTCTCTGAGCCACTCACACTTCTAAAAAGGTTATATTGAAGAATTGTTTATTAAGGCAAGCCTGTGCGACTCCACATAACAGATCTCAAGTTCGCCCTGTGGGTACTTTCCTTATTATAATTTATTTTTCTGACTTGCTGTTTGGTTCTGTGTCTTGCTGCTAGAATCAACAGTAATGAGTTGCACTGTTTTATTCATGTGTCCATTAGAAGCTTTGGCAATAAATCACTGGGGGTAAAAGAATAATGGTTTACAACCTCAAAGGTATTTTGACTGTACTAACTCTTACACTCATTTTTGATCCCTATATTGTCGAATACAAACATTCCCACCAGTCCTTTTGCCTGGTGCACGGTGATTTGCACATTTCATCTCCATGTCTGATAAATTCTGTTTTTACACAGTACGTATTAATCCATTGGAATTTTGTGTTTGTGTGAGCAGAACTCACAAAGACACATTCCCTTCACTCAATTTCTTTTTTTTAAAGATTATTTATTTATTTATTTGAGAGCGAGAGAATGAGAGAGAGCACATGAGAGGGGGGAGGGTCAGAGTGAGAAGCAGACTCCCTGCTGAGCAGGGAGCCCGATGCGG